TGTGGCACAAAGGAAATAGGTTTCATTGTCATATCATTATTTCGATGTCTGTGGCACAAAGGAAATAAAACACCAAAATTCAGTGGGAAATTTATATATTTACAATACTCAGCTTTGAGTTCCAGGTACTGTGGATCATATCGCCATATTTGTGAGTCTTCTGCTAATACTGAGCCTCAATAAGCAAGTGTTAATAGGCTCATTATGTAGGCTTTTGTTTTCTCTGTCTTCAAAGTTCAGTAGCTTATTATCCCATATTATTAAGACCAATCTATATTTGAAAATACCCCCTCCCTGATGCATTAATAATTTTGTGGAACAAAAATGCATATTGAATTTTTCCCCTCTATGAAATCTCAAGAATGTGAACATGTTTCTGTTTACTTTATACTTTGCACCACAAGATTTTTGACTACCAAAGAAAATAGTGTTAATCTGATGCAAAAAGAAATAGCTCTTTGCATTTTAAATTTAAGTATTTTCCTGATTGATATGTTTCAAAGCTAATGCCAACTTTTTTTTATACAATATAAAATCTTTGTTAAAAAACCCATTGCACTGAGTTGGTATGTAACACAAGCTACCATATGAACGCATGTCATTTGGTGAAATTTATATATTTGATGTAACAAAGGCATATAGCTACATAGATCACAGGTTATAAATATCTTAAAATAAGTTTGGCTTCAACAAGAATTTGTGATTGCCTTCGCATTCTTATTTTTTCATGTCTTGATAATATCACCCTCAGGGAAATGAAAATAAAATGATAATTCATCAACCATTAGTTTTTTCCAAAGGCCAAAATAATCTTATATAAAAAGTCTCAAATACTCCTTGAGCATCTGAGGAAGGCATGAGTGCAGGATTTAACCTTTACTACAATAAATGGATTATCAAAAGTACTTATAGATTGGTTATCACACTGTAAAGTTTAGTGGCAGTGTTTATAAAAGAAAAAATCTGAACAGGCAGTATCAAGCTATAGTACAGCTTATAAGTATGTGGATCTGAGGTGACTTCAGCACATCCTGTAGCCTTACACTTATTATCCAATGTAATTCTGAAGTTATTTAATTATGCATATTAACAATGCAAATGTAAACTTCAGGCATGACATGGCATAGATTTTTTTTTTCTTTCTTTACTTGGTTTTTTAAAAATATACGACTAACTGAAAGATGGACGCATTATATTGCCTGAAATTCTCTTAACCTGGCAATCCACACGCTTTGACCGACTGCCAAAGCAAGTACTCATGCCCACCTGTTTCTTCCTTTTACCTTTTATCTGGACATTCCATACAGCATTAAAATCCCCCCCCCCCTCCCTCCATTACCATGCTTCCTGTAGGTATGAATGCAGACAGAGAATTTGTTAGATCTACTAAGGTGTTTGAGGTGAGTTTTCCATTGCTTCCCGTCGTGTTCTTACAGCACTTTACGCTGTTTCCTGTTTGTGTATTGCCTTGTGTATGGTCACATATGTACTGTTGTTACATTTCGTATATCTGTATACGGGCAAATGCATGTTTTCATACATGAATAAATATAGGTAAATTACACAATAAATTTTCTCTATAATACAAATACAAATAAAAAGAGCAATAGTAGCAGATCACAAAAAGGGTATATACATAGAATTAACCTCTTTCTTTCATCAGCACTATCAGTGAAATATTACAAACCCTTCAAATTACAAAATGTTTTCCTACATCAGAAGAATGAAAATAAATAAATAAATAAATATATATATATATATATATATATATATATATATAATATATATATATATATATATATATATATATATATATATATAATATATAATGGTGGCAAACAAAGGCAATAAGATTTGTTTTTGGTAAGTATTTACCATATGATTCAACCATTACAGAAAAACCATACCTGTAGATACATGACTTTAAATACAGTATTTTATAAACCTGTGGATACACATCACAATATGTTTATATACAGATATACAGAATGTGTGTATGTGTGTGTGTGTGCGTGTAAGCATGTGTGTGCGCGCATGCTTTAAAATCCTGACAGGACCCTATAAGAAAAAGCAAAATAAAAAATACTCATCAAAAAGGTTACTCTTTTTGCGTATCTGAACATATTCACCTGCAGAGCAAAATTCCTGAATGTGTCATACCTACACAAAAGGACCAACCTGAACCATGGAAAGTCGCAATGAAACACAAATTCCACCCAAAATGTTTTTTCATCATCTTTTGCCTAATTCAATTGTCTTCATGAAATACCAATCAGAAAAAAAAAAAAAAATTACCCCTGACTTGCAAAAATAAAATACAAATTTAGCTGCATTCTGACTTGGGGAAACTTTCAATAGGAAAGTGACACATTTTAAAGAAAGATACTTGTATAAACAAGAGCTGAATTAAAGACCATAGAATAAGAAAAAAAAAAGATGTAAGTGAGAAAAACATGGATTGATCATTCAAATTAAACAATAAGACATGGAAAGACAATGAAAATGGAAAATAAGAGGTTATGTAAAACATATACGAAAAAATAAATAAAAAACTACATCAAATCCAAGAACCCGTATAAAATTAACCAACCAACAATCTTACATACAATGATAGCGATACAAATTAAATGAACAAAAACAACTAGTAAATCATCGTATATGATTTCTTACGTGCCAATACCATTAAAAATTCCATGTAAACGTCAATTTAACTTTAAAGGGCTGAAATTATCTGCTTTCACGAAAGACAGGTAGCTGACTGTGCCCACGGCTTCATACTCGAGTTTGTTTGAGACATTACATTTTTCGGGGAAGATTTAGAGCCTAACCATCTCAGTAATAATGACAAATAAAAACTATGAAATGTATTTTTTTAAAAAGCTATCATATTCTAAAAAAAAAATAGATAGCAATAATAATAATGACTGATAGAATCAATAATAGTAATATGATATTGATGGTGTTATTATCATTATCAAAATTAAGGATTATAATAAAAATCCGAACCTCTTAATTTTTCCTATAAACGCCATGCTATAATTATTGTAGCAGGTTTGGTTTACTTTTACATTGAATGGAATTAATGTCAATCAAACATCTCAATTTTCACTGCTCAAATATCAACAAGGTGACAGTATATTCATATCCTTCAGATAATACTGAGGAGGTTATTATTATTGATGATGGTGATGGTGATGATGATGATTGATGATTGATGATTGATGATGATGATGATGATGATGATGATGATGATGATGATGATGATGATGATGATGATGATGATGATGATGATGATGATGATGATGATGATGATGATGATGATGATGATGATGATGATTGATAATGATAGTGATGATGACTATGATTAAAAGGTTAAGGATAATGATAGTTATCATGATAATGCTGATTAAAATGATATGATAATGATATTAAATGATGATAATGATAATATTGATTAAAATGATGAATCACCATCATCACCATCATAATAATAATAATAACAATAATAATAATAATAATAATAATAATAATAATAATAATAATAATAATAATGATAAAGATAATAAGGATAATAATAATAATAATGATAATAATAATAATAAGGGTAATAATAATAATAATAATAATAATAACACTAACAAATGATGATGATGATGATGATGATGATGATGATGATGATGATAACAATAATAATACAATAATAACAATGATGGTTGTGATGATGCTATAGCTGTAATAGAAGTAGTAATAATAAGCAAAAATAATAAAAGAAAAAAATTAAGATAAGCAGCTACATTAAACTCATAAAAATGCCAGAAACAAATAAAATATAACAAAGCTCATAACACAGAACTTCAGCAAATGTTACTGTCCCCATGCATAGAAATTATAAACCCAATAATTTATTTGTAAAGAACAATAATAACAAATAAAGACTAAATAAATTCAAGAACTCATAGCTGCACACCAAAGACAGAATAAGGTCCATTTCATTTTCATTTTCCTGTGGGATGAGAGGGTGGGACAGACTCTATAGCCTTGTACAATATTTCTCTTTGAAACTCACATACGATAAGCTGCGTACCCTCTTATCAAATAAATAATTTCTATTGTCCATGTGTTCATATACTGCTCAAGCCAATGTAACTTCCTGGCTGGCATACGAACATAGATACTATGTTCATAAAAACTGGCAGCGTTTTTTCCAACTGCTCCTATATCATATATACCAATAGTCATAATACATCTATCACATCTCAAAACAATACCTTATAAGGCATGACAAAAATATATATATATAATTATCTTTACACTTGTACATAAATTCGTCCTCTTCTGTATTTACAATTTGCATGTTATTAAGGATACACAGTTATACTATCAATAGGTAAGCTCAGCACTAAGATTGTTTTTGCATCCTTATTTGGCTAAGTTTCATGAGTTTTGATTGTGATTATAAAACTGAGCAAGTAATGTGGCACAAGGGAACACATTTCCCGTGAGACTCCAGTCCCTCCGTGACAACCCCCACCCCCTTGTATCACACGCACGTCTATTAACAAACCTCGGCACTTGTCGCATAATATTTTCTTGAACTTTAAAACCAATGTTGTGTATTCGGATCACTATGATGTCTGGTTCAGTCACTGTGCCTTATATAAGTTTCTTTTCTTCTTCTTTTCTATAGCTAGATGTTGAGATCGTAGTTCATAATTTTTTAAAGGTCTATGATGATAACAATCTATCCATTTACTATACATTGCAATACTTTTTTCATTAGTGTATATAAAGAGAAAAAGAAGACATCCCTCATTAAATACATCAGTCAATCAGTCAGTTACAGGAGAAGGCAGGAAATAACATTTACAAAAGAGGAAAAGAGGTGAAGACATGAAAATCAGTTACAGGTATCATGTACACATTACTTATATCTCAAGAATAAATATGTATATTTACATGAGATAATACACTAGCAGGTACCTTTCAATGTATCAATAAAAAAGGTTTATAATTTTTTTTTAGAAAATTAGAAATTTGTAAGGATACTTCACTCCTAATTCATTCTAAGAAACAAGTGAAATACTTGGATGTAAGAAAGGAAGAATTGATCAATAGGAAAAGATTCTTACTTTTAGAGATTTTTTACTGTGATATGAATATTTTTAATCAAGTTTTTCCATATTACAAACTTTCAGGAGAAATATCATAAATACTTCACATAATTATCATCCCTATTCTCTTTCTCCTTAAAGCCTGTGTGATAGTTTTCTTGACTATAATACCATATATCAAAACGAATAAAAATTGAATTCATAATGATTGTCAAAAATGGAGACCATTTCTCAAAGATTAAATTCACAATTGTAACTGACTGAATTGAACAATGTCCCTATTTCTGTCTGTTTGTCTAGAGGAAGCATTTCAGGGCTTCCATACATTCAAAATTTAGGCTTATTAGGCAAAGGTTTCTGTCTTTCCTTTCCTCTCTTCTTCCTCCTAAACAAGGGCAACCATTCATGCACTCTTTGGTAGATCGCGTGTGAACAGGGGAAGAGACGAGTCGCTGGGAGCAGGAAGCCCTTTGGCAGCCAGTGTTGACTCAGGGCCTTGGCAGGCCTTGATCCCCTCGTCTTCAGGCTGGTGTCACTTGGTGGCAGAAGGACAGAGAGAAGTGAGGTGCAGACATCACAACACCCGGCAGGAGAGCCTTAGCCTCTGCCTCTCGGGACTGGCTCCGCTGTGAGTCTGGCGGTGAGCAAAAATCACCGTGTTTTCACTTCTTGGGTTGGTGCTGTGGTGATTGTTGGTGAGGCTGGCCAGTACCACCAGGTTGAGCAAACAGCATTTGAGCCTGTTGTTGGGACAACTGGTAGGGCACCGCCATCCCTGTACCAATGCCCTGCACACTCACCTGGAAGAGCAAGTGCTTACATTAGTAATTGTTTCTTAATTGTTTATATCTTGTTCCAGATGCTTCTGTTGAAAAGGATATCTATATATGTATATCTATATAATATATATATATATATATATATATATATATATATATATATATATATATATATATATATATATAAAATAATAAAAAAATAATTATATATGTCTGTGTGTGTGTGTGTGTGTGTGTGTGTGTGTGTGTGTGTGTGTGTGTGTGTGTGTGTGTGTGTGTGTGTGTGTGTGTGTGGTGTGTGTGTGTGTGTGTGTGTGTATGTACATATACATATAAATATACATACACATACACACACACACACACACACACACACACACACACACACACACACACACACACACACACACACACACACACACACACACACACACACACACACATGCATATATATCTTTTTTCATGATTATCTACATCTTTTCTTTTCTGATTCTCAACTTCTATAACATATAATATCATCCAAATGTTTTACAAATAAGTAATGACACAAATAGTATACACATACTTGTGCAGGGTTAATTGTGGAAACAGTATTTGTAGGTGATTGTAAAGAGGAGGGCGTACTCATGGTCACAAATGACTGGGTGGCTAAAGTCCCTGCTAAAGTGCCTGTCGCCAGAGTTACAGTGCCACCAGGATGCAATGCCGTGGACACTGGAAGACTACCCGTCCCCATGCCTATCACACTGCCCACGCCTGAGCCCACGGCCACACTGCTCTGGAAACTTCCATTGTTGCCCACTGAGTTCGCTGGGGTATACTGCACTCCACCCTGTTCAAAAATCAACAAATGATTAGCAGATGAATGTTTTATGTTTCATCTTTTTCCTCACAATTACAGAGGCATATAAATACAAATGCAAATCATATATAAAGAACTTGTGTGCATGTCTAAGTTTTGGGATATCAATCTAAAATCTAATCCATTTTACTAAGGACATGGAAAAATTTAAATGATCCTTATTCTTCACAACACTTTCTTCAAATACTCAAATTAAACCAATTGAAAAACACAAGAAAAATCTACTCAAATAACAAATATTGGTGACACTACTTTGAGTCTAAATAGCCTTACCATTGCAATATTCAGAATATGCTCAACACATGACTTACTATCTTACATCTTTTAATCCAAATGCCTCACTGATGAATGTGTGGCTTGTAGGCTGTGAGCATGTGAACACTTGTTTGTGGTTACAAGACTCTATGCCTCCCCTTTGTAATATTCTCTCTTTTTCTACATAATCGTATTTAGCTTTTTTGCCATTTTCCAATGTTCATAATTGTCATTTGGTTTGCTTTTTCCTTGCATAGACTCCATATCATTTCTCTAGGTAGGCTGTAACTCAGTGAAAGAATAATAACAATAAGTGAGATTTTGTCTAATCAACCTCCACGAGATTTTTGCACTTGTTGTGAGTCTATCCCATTACCACCTTCAGCCGAAATGTTCATAATGGAAAGTTTGCATCACCCTGGCCCACAGCCAAATTTCTTATAATGACATGTTCATGTCACCCTGGCTTAGCCAAAATTTTTCATGATGTGATACTCATGTCATTTAGATCATAGGGGTTACAATAAACTAGAAATCTGTCCATTGATAGAGTCTATAGAGTTCCTCAACATAATCTATTAAAAAAACTTCATTCATAAACATGGAAACACCTCATGCAAGATCAACAAATGGATATATTAATAGTCTTCTCTCACACAGTAACAAATGTGAGCTCAACTCACCTTATATATATTTTGTAAGCTCATGCCATATTGTGCCATTATGAGTTGGTCATTAACTTGCCGCAGTTCCTCTTGCTGTCTCAAAATCTGTTGCTGAAGCTCTGCATGTTTTCTTCGGAGCTGTTCCTGGAGTTGTCTCTGATCAGGACTTAATATCAATGACTGGCGAAGACCCTGCAGAAAAAAACAAACATTAAAGTAATGCTTTTTATTTTCTCTGTCCATTTCAATTGTACATGATCTGGTTAATCCTTGTTGAAAAAAAATAAAATCTCCAAAATGCCATGATGATTGACCAAATAAAAAAAAAAAAAAAAAAAAATTTTAATGTCTGAAACAAATAAATGTGCTTGACATCAAAGATCATAAAGCAATGTGGTAAAGATTGTGTCAAAAAGGGTAAAGAGGAGTTAAGATTAATACAAAATGCGTTAATGTCAAAGATTAGAGAGCATTATAGGATAGTATGGTAGTGAAAAAGGGAAAAAGGGGAGCAAGTGAAGTAAAGCAGAGATTTGTGTAAAAAGGGGAGGGTTAAGGGAGTAAAGCGATTTAATGAACTGCAGTGTATCTGTTACTGGGGAAGGAATACGAGCAATGTTCAAGGAAAACAGAGATGGTTGTTGGAAACGCAGAAGAAGAATATGCGGAGGAGTGGGGGATGTTAGATGTCAAAGATTAGAGAGTGTTATAGGATAGCATGGTAGCGAAAAGGGGCAAATGAAGCAGAGCAGAGATTAGTAAAATGGGAAGGGTTGAGGAGGTAGAGAGATTGAGTAAATTGCAATGTATCTGACTGGGAAAGGAATAGTGACATTGTTCAAGGAAAACTGAAGTGGCTGTTGGAGACGTAGGAGGAGGAGAGAAGAATAAAGAAAAGAAAGAAAGAAAGAAAAAAAAAAGATGCAAGATAATATTTTTGACATCACGTAAGACCCCATTCCACATGGACATAGGCATAGCTAATTTTAAAATAATTGTCAAGGCCTTCTTGTAAAACTGGTTCAGAATGGTACGAACTTCTCACTCAATATCACATACTGTTAAAAGGCATCAACCAGATAAGGTTCTTCAGAGAATACTTACAAAGCTACTGATCGACATTCCATTGAAAAATTAAGTATGGTGATACACAATCATCATGATAAATGATTAATAAAGCCATTTACTATTTAGTACTTACTACTACTATTACCATCACACTATCCATAAGCAAGTAGTTCCTGGTTAGAAAGAACTCAAAAAGTTGTCTATATAATATGGCTGAAGACTCAATAAGAAATCATATCCATTACCATATTAGTTTTGTTTACATAGAGATGGTTTTACAAGTGCCTAGTCACCAATAATAACAGAATTTGACAAAAAAAAAAAAAAAATAATAATAATAATAATAACAAATAATAATAAAAGGAATAAATGATTTAATAATCACAAATGAGGCCAGGCTGGCATACTAACTGCCTCCTTAGTGACCAATGTGCAATTAAGATAAACAAAACAAAATTACCTTGTACCCTGTAACAATGGACTGGTATTACCCTCATGTATCCTCAACCTTCTTAGATAAATGCTACAAGAGTAATCTTCATAGAAACCTTTAAAATGCAGATTTAACCAATAACTCATGTTTTTAGGAAGAGGTGAAAATTCATCACCTGAACACTAATAGCAACCTTTTATGATAATAAAACTAATATCAACAGTAGTGATGATACTATAATAACCGTGATGATGATGATGAACCTACACATCAAACATGATCATCTAAATATATCAACTGACCTCAGTGGTTGGCGCAGAAGGCAGCTGGACGGAGAGGTTGGTTACCATGGGGTTGATGGGAATGACGGGAGAGAAGGGTACAGTCGCCACCTGGACTACCTGAGTTGCAGTTCCACTGACTGCTGGCGTTGCTGGATTTTGGGTCACACCACTATTGCTCAGGTACTGCAGATCTATGTTACTGTAACCTCCACCTGGAAAAAAAAATTGATTAATTTAAAAATGCTTTTGTATTTCGAAAGCCATGTCGCTGCTGAAGGTCAAGCAACTGGTACCTAAGATTATGGTATCCATAATCTGCAGCACCAAAAAATATGAAAAACTAGAGACCTAACCATGATGACCATACCTTGCTGCTGCTGAGGCTGCTGTGGTTGCTGTTGCTGCTGTTGCTGTTGCTGCAACGGCTGCCGACTACTCGAGGCTGATCCTGCCCCCATAATGCTGCTTGTGGACCCTCTGCCCCCTCGCACTCCTGAAGTTGACCCTAATGTTATTGCAACAACAGAGTAAGAGAAAGGTTACCAATCTTATGTTGGGAACTGCCTCAGGGTAATCAATAATTGTTTTAAGACATACAAGAATATATAAAAACACGGTATCTCTCTCTCTCTCCCTCTCCCTCCCCCCCCCCCTCTCTCTCTCTCTCTCTCTCTCTCTCTCTCTCTCTCTCTCTCTCTCTCTCTCTCTCTCTCTCTCTCTCTCACACACACACACACACACACACACACCACACCACACACACACACACACACACACACACACACACACACACACACACACACACACACACACACACACACACACACACACAGATGGCTCTACAAATGCTCATCCATCAAAAAGCTCATTAGTAGGCCCTACATTACCTCACCTGATTTCCTCCATTCCTTGGCTTTTCGGGAGAAAAATACTCCCAATACTTTTGATACTGTTATTATAATCCCTGACATAATGATTATTATCATATCATCAAAATACTATAATAAAAGAATACAAT